GGGGCAGCCATGACAGAGCTGAGTGGAGACACGGGCCCGGAGGAAGGCCCCTTCTGTCCTTCATGGACATCGCTGCTCAGTCCCTGCCCCGTCCAGGTGCTTCAAGTCAGCCAGAGTCACAGCCGTGACCCCGTCTGACCGAGAGAAGTGTTTTTTGTTGGCAAAGGACAAAGGAAAGAGGCCAAGTGACGGAGCCAGCCAGGGGGAACGAGGAGAAGACGCAGAGACGAGACGAGCGTCGCAGTATGAAAAGTGGCCTGGCTGATGTGTTCTCATCCCATCCAGCGTCTGTTAAATACTCCCTCTCTTTTTCTCCGCGCTGGGCCTGCCTCAGTCGCTCCTCTGCCCCCTTCCTCCCTGTCCTTTCCCCTCCATGGACTGTCCTCTCTTCTGTTAGCACTAGAAACACCTGTATTGGGGGCAGGTGTGCGTTGAAGCAGCTGGGTCTGAGCCGATGCCCAGCTCGGCTGCAAGGGAGCAGATCCAACCTGCTCAGCTTCGAAAGAGACGCCAGCTCCTCGCTACCCCTCCGCTGCGTACCACCCCCCTCACACACACACACACACACGCAAGAAGAGTTTCTGGAAGTTCCTTGCCATCCATCTGTCCGGCCTTACCTGTTCCTGGGAGCTGTGCCTGCAGCAGGGCCATGATGACAAGCGCCTTCCACATCACCTTGTCCTTTCCCCCAGGGTGGCACCAGGAGGCCGAGGCTGTGGCAGCCATGGCTGGGACCCAGAAGAGAGACGGTCTCTCTGCTTTGTGCTGCTGCCTCCTCAGGAAGTAGAGGACTGTGGGGCCTTTGAGAAGGCAGACACCTGCCAGCAAGGCCAAGAAACGCACTCCCCCTTTCGGTTCACGGGCAGGAAGCTCTGGAGGTTTGAGGGTTTGAGGGGTGTGTGTGTGTGTGTGTGTGTGTGTCTACATCTTGCTTTTTCTCTCATTTAACCATTGCTTTACTCTCCTTTTCTCCTAATTTTTGTCTAATTTTTATCTAACTCCTCTCTTGATGGGTGAAGCCAGTCCCTAGGCGAACAGGAGTTCCCAATGCGTGCAAGGACATTTTCCTGGACTTACATATTTTATAGATGTTGGTGAGACGGCAGAGCTCTGGATCCAGGAGAAATGCAGAGACAGAATACCCGGGCTTTGGTGCCTATCTCTGCTACCCAGGTGCTGTGTGGCCTTCAGTAACTCACTCAGCGTCTCTAGACATCAGCATCCTTACCTGTAAAGCAAATGGCTGGAGTAGATCTGAGGCTACAGACCCAAACTTGGCCTTGAGTTGGAACCACATAGTATTTCAAATGCTTTTGCTGGTCGTCAACATTGAAACACTGGCATAATTTACAATAATAAAAAGATAAATACCTACAAACAAAGGTAATGAAAAGTGTTAGTTAGATCTATATGAAATACATTTTAAAACATTACTGAAGGATGCAGAAGGGACCTGGGTATATGGAAAAGTCTATGGTCTTTGATAATCTTAAGAAGACTACAATTCTTTGTAAACGAATCAACCCATTCCACTAAAAGTATCAACACACAAATAAAACTCCTACAATTCAACAATAAGAAAACATAACCCAATTAAAAATTGGCCAAAGATGGGGCGCCTGGGTGGCTCAGTCAGTTAAGCGGCTGACTTCAGCTCAGGCCATGATCTTGCGGTTCACGAATTCAAGCCCTGCGTTGGGCTCTGTGCTGACAGCTCAGAGCCTGGAGCCTGCTTCAGATTCTGGGTCTCCCTCTCTCTCTCTGTCCCTACCCCGCTCAAGTTCTGTCTCTCTCTGTCTAAAAAATAAATACGCATTAAAAAAAAATTGGCCAAAGATCAAAATAGATACTTCTCCAAAGAAGATAAGCACACAAGAAGGATCTCAACATCGTTAGATAAATGCAAAGCAAAACTACAGTGACATTGGCCATGGAAACATTGTTCTCGAGATGTCTCCTCAGGCAAGGGAAGCAGGAACAAAATTGGGACTATTTTTAAAAACTATTGGGAATACACCAAAATAAAAACTTTTTGCACAGTGAAGGAAATTATCAACAAAATGACAGGGCAACCTATTGAATGGGAGAAGATATTTGCAAATGACATATGCAATAAGGGGTTAATATCTAAAATACATGAAGAACTTAAACAACTCAACACCCAAAACTGATTAAAAATGGGCAAAAGACCTGAATAGACATTTTCCCAAAGAAGACATCCAGATGACCAAGTGACATGAAAAGATGCTCAACATCACTCATCATCAGGAAATTGCAAATTAAAACCACAATGAGGGGCGCCTGGGTGGCTCAGTCAGTTGAGCATCCGACTC